ATCCATTCCATCTTATATATATAATTTTAAAAACTCTCCACAATTTTTTCTGAATTCTGCAACCTGAACATTGACCAATATCGTATTGTTTGTTGCCCGGCTGCAGAGTGGAAGAGCAATTATAGAAGCTTAACCACTGCTTAAACAGTTTCCACAGAATATAATTGTTATTTTATTGATTGCGAGATCAGCCATGCAACTGGTCATATGACAGGAAGCTTGGCAGAATGACAAATAGAGGGGGGGGGCTTGTGCAATTACCTTTCTGTTCCATGTTTAGGCAATAGGATGCTAGCCATTAAACAATTGTTTTACATTATTTTACTAATAATTACAGTGCTCCCAGAATTGAAAGGTCTCAATGGTCATTCTGTAAGAGTTTTCTCCTATCTATCTATCTATCTATCTATCTATCTATCTATCTATCTATCTATCTATCTATCTATCTATCTATCTATCTATCTATCTATCTATCTATCTATCTATCTATCTATCTATCTATCTATCTCTGTCTGTCTGTCTGTCTGTCTGTCTACTTAATAAATACAATAAATAAAATAAAATAAAATAAAATAATATATTTATTAGTATCTTTTTCATGCCGTTCTTTTCTCCAAAGAGATCCAGAATGGCAGGACAGTACCCATGATGTAGCTCAGATACATATGTTAGTGGTCTGCCTTCTTTATGCACTCCTCTGCACCCCCAAAAAACCTACTCTGGAGGTCTTTAAAAACCACTGAAATGGGATTTGATGTACTGTGGAGGGTTGCAGCTTTATTTATTAGTATCTTTTTCATGCCGTTCTTTTCTCCAAAGAGATCCAGAATGGCAGGACAGTACCCATGATGTAGCTCAGATACATATGTTAGTGGTCTGCCTTCTTTATGCACTCCTCTGCACCCCCAAAAAACCTACTCTGGAGGTCTTTAAAAACCACTGAAATGGGATTTGATGTACTGTGGAGGGTTGCAGCTTTATGAGGATGAGAAGAAAATCTCAGTTCTGTGGCTTTGGATACCAAATTACACCACTGGATCTTGTCCTAAATATTTGCTGCACATCCAACAGGGTGTAATTTGTTGTGCAATGTCATTTGTCAAAAATTATTTTTATTAACAGAAAAATTCCTTGGCTTTAATGTGACCTACAACCTTTTTCAGATTGGATACTGGAGTGAAGTGGACAAATTGGTTGTGATTCCTACTGATGGTCTTGCTGGTAATGACTCCTCAGGAATAGAGAATAAGACTATTATTGTCACCACCATTATGGTAATTAAGCACATTTTTTGTGAAATGGATCATCTAAGCTGTAATCTTATCATTCTCTCTCGGTCTATGTTGGATTAATTAATTAATGCATTTTTCTTTGTGAATGTGTGAATATCTGGGGATCAGTTTGTATGGTGCATGAGTAAACTTTTTGGTGTAATTTGACTGTTGTTTCAGCATAGTTATGAGAACTTTGAAATGTCTCCTTGCTGTCATTTTTCTAAATTTGTGGCAGAATTTGTAGTAAGGGAACCATTTTCAAGGAAGTGCTTTTTCTTTTGTAACAAGCTTGTGCTTTCATTTTTGTGCTTAACTTTTGTGCCTAACTTTTGTCTTATAATGGTCATAATGGCAATTGAAGTTGCCACATGAAGAATGAATTAATAGTTTCTCTCTAGTACATATAAATTCTCACACTAAACACAAGAGTATAAAACTTTCTCTCTCTCTCTACAATAGCAGCAATACAGTAATACCATAGGAATGTCATGATGTTTACCTAGTAAACTAATAATTGTTTGCAGTTGTTCATTTACTGTATAACTACTCTGGATTATATATTAAAGGGAGCAACAGTATATCAGCTGTTTTGATGGTGGTAAGATTTTCTTTTTCAGATCAATAATGATTGTAAACTTTATATGATCAATTGTGAATTTAGTGGAAAATAAGAGATGAATACTATGAGATAGGCAAGGTTACAAACATTCTTTAGAAAGCTGATTGAAGTCTCTTCTTTTACTTACAGTTTATATTGCTGTTAATAAGAATCGCGGACACAAAAATTTGTTTACCTGTAAGGTTTACTATAATGCTAAAGGAATGTTATTACAATGACTGATAAATAAATAATCCTGAAGAATTATGAAATAAATGCAGGTTTTTCTTGTTTTATTTAATGTGCTTCTAAAACAGTGTGCAAAGAATAGATGACTGACTAGCACAACATCCTTTTAAATTAGCTAAAGCTACATTTTTCTGTACAGGAATCCCCATATGTCATGGCGAAGAAAAATATTGATATGCTTGAAGGAAATGACCGTTATGAGGGCTACTGTGTGGACTTAGCTGCAGAAATTGCCAAACACTGTGGGTTCAAGTATAAACTCACAATTGTTGCTGATGGCAAGTATGGGGCCAGGGATGCAGAAACAAAAATCTGGAATGGAATGGTTGGAGAACTGGTTTATGGGGTAAGCGCCATTTTTAACCATTGCAAATGCTTGCCATTAACAAAAACAAAAAACAAAAACAAAAAGAGCTCAATGCATGCAGGAATGCCATCTGTTCTTCTCTTGAATGGATGCACAGTTTAAATGGGTTGTTGAAGAGAAATCGACTCATCTGTATTTCATCACCCTTCAAATGGAAGGTTCTGAGCTTTCAAATGCCATAAGAATTCAGGAATTATTGTTGTGTAATAGCAATATTTTGCAAATTTGTGGTGAGGAAGACATACCCTTTGCATGTTACAAGGTGGAGCCGTATGGTTGAATGTGTGTCAGCAAGGAGGCTATTGGGAGCAGTTTGTTCAATATTCCACAATAGGACAGTAGTACTGAAATGATTATTATCTATATTCCTGTTGTTGCATTCTTTAATTGTGGTGCATAAAAGCAATGAAGCTATTCCCTTGTGAAATACTGAATAAGTTATTAGATTGTTTTGCTTCTATTACAGAAAGCCGATATTGCAATTGCTCCACTAACTATAACACTGGTGAGAGAAGAAGTGATTGACTTCTCCAAGCCTTTTATGAGCCTTGGAATATCTATAATGATCAAGAAGCCTCAGAAGTCCAAGCCAGGAGTGTTTTCCTTTCTTGATCCCTTAGCATATGAGATCTGGATGTGCATTGTTTTTGCATACATTGGGGTCAGTGTTGTTTTATTCCTGGTCAGCAGATTTAGCCCATACGAGTGGCACACTGAGGAGTTTGAAGATGGAAGAGAAACGCAAAGTAACGAATCAACTAATGAATTTGGGATATTTAATAGTCTCTGGTTTTCCTTGGGTGCCTTTATGCAGCAAGGATGCGATATTTCGCCAAGGTTGGTTACGCGCCCATTTCAGCTTTGTGCATTTTTGGTCTCGCTGAGGGCATTCATGGTGCATATATACTCACTCTTAAGAAATGCCAGCTGTTGGTGAGTTTCTCAAAATCATCCATGGCCTTTTCAATGAAAATAACCGCACATGACACAGCCAGTGGACTGTTCTGTTGTCCTCTAGCATCAATCATTTTTTTTTTTACCCTGGTGGACTTATATACACCATGCAGAGGCCATAAAAATGCATAAGGTTCCTCATATTTCATGCCTTCTTGGAGGGGTACCGTGTTTTTGCTGCATATTCCCATTCACAGCCAACGGTGCAGTGATTTCACATGTGCTGTAATGGGAAAAAGAGTTGCACACGATTCATGAGTTGTAAGAACAGTATTTTCACCTCCACAAATCACCTTACTTAACATCCTCCATATTGCTTAAACTGCTGTTCTCCTTTCAGTAATCTGAATTTATATAGAAAGGTCTTCTGATAACTCAAAGGTCATGTGAACCAGTTGCAACAAACCTGACAAGAGTTTGCATGGAAGATATGTCTACAAAAATTCTCTACCTTGTTTCTTTAAGATTATATAGATGCTGATCTTGGTGGGCTTTATTTTAAAAGTTACCACAAGTATCCTGAAACTATAAGCATAATTTATTATGCAATTTTTTCTTTGTTTCCTTCTGTCAGTGTTAACAACTATTCCATTTTATGCATACAAATAGCTTAAATATCCCAGCTGAAATAGGGGAATTGCATCAATGCTGACATTCATGCAGGGCTGCCTCTGGAGAGAGATAAAGCTGGGATTTTGTCAGGGTCCCAGGACAAGTAGAAGGCTCATTGCATTAACAGTGTTTCTATTCCCACTTTGCACAAATCATTCAGTAAGATCTCACTATGCAGGTCTCACTTCTTCTAATTGGAGGTACCTACTAACACTGCCATGTCAAATACTCCCTAAATCCTAGGGCTGACAATAATTCATTAAAGGAAAAGAACATTTATGAAGGAATGGGTCACAGATACACTGAGTGAACTATATAGATATAGTTCACTCAGTGTATCTAGAGATACAGATTCATAACTAACAAATTAAATAGTCCTAATTGAAAAAGAATGTCATGAAATATGGCAAAAAAGAGCATTCTTCAGCGTTGTCACTGAGAAGTTATAATTTCTCCTTTGTTAAGTTTTGTTAATAGAATTAATAGTAGAAATTAGAGTATTGGAGATTAGGGAGAGAGTGCATAGCTGAACAGGTGGGTCTCACTTTATTTCAGATAGGTTGCAGATCAACTGTGATCTGAGATGAAGAACAAAACAGAAGGTGATAAGGCAGATAATGGAAATTTGTTTTTATAGCACAAAGTATTGTTGCAACATTCTGTAGGAGGCAGGTGGGGAAGACCTGTCAGTCACACTGAAAAGATTTAGTGCAAAAATTCCATATTGAGCAGCAACAAATATTTTCAGTTTGCATAGTACTTTACTGTGACTATATCACAACAGCTTTCCAAAGTCCATCTGTATTTATTACCCCCATATTGTACTTTTGGAGAGTGTGGGAAAATCTCCTCTGAGCTTATGGCAGAGATGAAATTTGAAGCAGGGGGTTATTCTTCCATGATTCTGTTGCTTAGCAACTGTGATGTTGGCCTGCTTAACAGTTGTTGTTGTTGTTGGTCTGCTTAACAATGACATATTAGTCAAGGCTGAAGATTACAATTTGAGAGAAGTGTAGCAGTATTCATTATTGTTGTGGAAACAAGCATATCATTATTTACTTTTACAAGTATGATAATGAATGTTCTCATTTTAATTGAGGACATCAGAGTTAAAAATCAGATGGGTAATCGTCTGAATGACAAAAAGCAAAATAGACACTCTGGGAGAAGAACCAGACAAACATTGGTGGTTGATAGAGCTTCTTATTTGCATCCTGTTACCTTACTGTGATTGTCTGACTGCCACTGAAAACATTTCCTCATGATGTTACTGCGAGTTGTAAGAGTAACATTTAGGGCAGCAGCTTCCCTCCTATGGCCTACTCTGTAGAGGTTTCCTATTGTGTTCTGGAGGTTTGTGGGCAAGGCTCTCTCAAGCCCTCTCCAGAGGTATAGATAACTCATGATTGGGTTTGAGGTGCCCTGGCTGTGGAGGCTCTCTTGAATGGAATCTCCATTTTCTCCAATGACCAATCAAACACAGTTCCACTCAGTGCTTTGATAAGGTGCTCAGAACTGTGGATCACAGAGGCTATCATCCAGCCCACAGAAGTCTCCAAGGGGAAAGGGTTTGGAATCCAGCCTGCCGCCTGACTGTAGTTCCCCACCCACAGTCTGAAATCTATTTGTTATATTTATTTCTTGCTGTTCCTCCAACGAGCTGAAGCTAGTGTGTATGGCTCTCCTCTTTTTCACTTTTATCACTGCAACAATCTTGTGAGGCTTAGATAGCATGACTGGCTCAAGGTTTCTCAGTGAACTTCATAGACAAATTAGGATTGAACCCACATCGTGTGTTGCAATTCTGTGCCCACTTAAACTCAGTGGGAAGTTTGACCTGACATGCAGGATACTATTGTTAATATATTGGCGTGTTCAGGTTCCACTTTTCTTAGGGTCATAACTGTTGCTGTAAGAACCCTGCACACTTTAAGGCAGATATAAATAGAAAAATGTTTCTGCATAGAACATCAGTTAACAAGGGAAGATCCTAGATTTATCAAGAGGCCATCTAAGATGAAATAAGAGAAGGCGAGACTTCCAATAAACCTTGGTAACTTGAAACTACTAGTGTAGGCCATGTTATTTGCTTCTGTTCTGAAACTCTCACATTGGCTACAATGATCCTTTTCAAGCTCTGTCCCTACGCTTTTGAGTTGTCTTCCAAATCCACTTTTGGCAGGATGTGTGAACAGCAGCAGTCGCTAATAGACACTTAGCTACAGTTATAGTCAAGTGATTATTAAACCACTTTGCTACTACTGAAATACTGATGGCTACTTGAAAGAGAACTGGACAGATCCATAGTGAATGGGGCTACAAGTGCAGTGCTAGTCAGGATAGAAACATATTCTTTCCCACATCAGAATTGTTATGCCACTATATATCAGTCTCCAGGGTATAAAAGCAAGAGGTTGCTGTTGCATTTATATCCTGATTGTGCACCTCCTGTAGGCACTAGTTGGTGATTGTATGAAGAAAATATTGGACTAGAGAGGTCTTTAGTTTGATCTAGTATGGCTTTTCTTATACTTTTTCTCAAGTTTAGATTGTGCCTTATTATTTAAAAAGAAAATAGCGTGTGATCCCTATTTATATGTATGCAGAAAATGGTAGTAACTGTGGGAAAGCTGGACTTAAATATAGGGAATTTATAGTAATTTATATAAAAATAGATTTAATATCCCAAATGTCTCTTGTTCTGCTGTGGTATATGTCTGATCAGTTGATATATGGTATCTGCTGTTAAGTAATGGGATATTCCAAGGAAAAAAGACAGCATAGAAAAGCATGTACTGGAGAACCTGTAGGAATTTATACCCAGAATATTTATTTATTTATTTGTTTATTTCATTAGCTTTATATACTGCCCCATTAGTGCAATGCATTGTTGTGGGTGGTTATAGCAAGCAGACAGATAAAAAAAATATGTTATAGATTCTTGATTTACTTATTTAGATTTTGGTGATTTAAGTTAGCCTCTGTCTATTTAGTGTCCATTGTAAGAAACATAGTTTCTTTGTACAGCATATTCATGTCTTGTTGAAAATGGAAGAATTTCAAGTTTAGATCGTATGTACGATACTGATCTTGTCTGTTTTTGTTTGTTTGTATATGCATTTAAACTGTCACAAATGGGTTCACTTGAGTTATCATGAAAACCTTACTTTAAATATATATATATATCTGGTAATAATGTGATCTAAGCAGCTTTCTTTTCCAGGATGCTCAGACCTGTGAAAGACCGATGAGCTAGTACCTTAACTCAAGATGGGATCCCTGAATGTTGATTGTGACATCATTGGATCTGAGTAACATTCTTGTAGCAGACTTTAAAAATGTTTAATTTCCCATTTAATTAGCATGCATTGGAATGGAGAGGAAAAAAAAATGAGATAGCATAAAAATTACTTCCCCATGTTACACAATATACATAAACCTCTGGTACCTTGTATTTCTTTGTAAATATTTATTTCATTTTACAAATCCATTTCACACTTGTTATTAGATCCCTGTCTGGGCGCATTGTTGGAGGTGTATGGTGGTTCTTTACCCTGATCATAATCTCATCCTACACGGCTAACTTAGCTGCCTTCCTGACAGTAGAAAGAATGGTGTCTCCCATTGAAAGTGCGGAAGATTTATCTAAACAAACAGAAATTGCTTATGGAACATTAGATAGTGGTTCAACAAAAGAATTCTTTAGGGTGAGTGCATCTAGTTAATTTAATTTTTTTGTTTGTTTGTTTGAAATACCAAGTTAAATGAAGTATAAGATCAGCTGCTGGTGTTGTGGTTTAAATACTGTATTTTTTGCACCATAAGACTCACTTTTTTCCCACAAAACAGGGGTGTGGAAAGTCTGTGCGTCTTATGGAGCGAAAAATACGGTAATTCGTATATTGGTTGAAAATAAAGAGATGGATAAATAAATATATAAGAAGTGAAGATAAAGAGATGGACATCCGAACTGAATGAGAATTAAGCTAAGGTGCTACAAAGGTTTCTTGACATTCCTTTCCACCATGCCATCCTGAAAATACACAATATTCTCTGAGTTTTGTAACCTAAAAAGAGCTGATCCTGGAAATACAGTGGAATCTCCAGGTAGGTCTAGAAAAGAATCCTGCCTGAAAACCTGAAAAAGCTAGTTTTGTCAATGTGAGTTGGCAATACTGAACTACATAGACTAAGGGTCATGTCTTTCTATCTGCCAGTATTGCAGATAACACTGTTCCATTGCCAGTGTTCTATAAGGTTCAGCTACTACCTGTGACAGCTTCTGTATGTTGAATGGTGGAGGGGCATTGCTTTGTCCTTTGCCTCAGACAACAAAATGTCTTGGGCTGGCTTAGCCTCTGCTGTTAGCTTTTGAAACTTATGGAACTGAAATTGAAATAAATAGAAATTAAGAACTGAAATAACTGCAATGGACTAAATGGATATTTTGCAAATAGCAAATTTGGATTTTTGCAATAGTCCACAAATGCCTTGTACCTTGAAAGTGGAAATGCCTTCATTCTACTTTTACCAGTTTTTACTTTAGGAGCTAAGCTTTGCAATTGTGATGCATAATTTCCTTTCATCACAACAAAGTGTACAGTGGACCCTCTACTTACGGAATTAATCCGTATTGGAACGGTGGCTGCAGGTCGAAAAGTCTGTAGGTCGAGTCTCCATTGACCTACAATGCATTGAAAACCGATTAATCCCGTAACCAGTCATTTTTGTTCCATTTTTGTTCAATTTTTGTTTTTTTCTGGTCTGTAAGACGATTCTCCGGCTGCAAGTCAAACCTAAATTTTGTAGCCAGAGAGTCTGTAACTCGAAAAGTCTGTAAGTTGAGCCGTCTGTAAGTCGAGGGTCCGCTGTACTAAGAGACTTTCTGGCCACCGTCAAATTGCAACTGCAAATTTACTTCTCTATTGGAAGTTCTGCTGTATCCAATTGCAGAGCAAATTTTAGTACATCTTTGAATTATTTCTGCAAATGACATGCTAATTATAGAACTTCATTTTGAGAATAATAGATCTTCGTAAACCAAAATGGAAAAATTATCTGATGGCCCACTAGATGTGTAGACTGCTAATTAATTTGATAAATTCTTCATAATTGAAAACCTTAATTGAGTGTCTCTAGGAAAGAGCTTTCTTCAGTGAAGGCAGCTTAATGAATATAAATGGAACACACTGTTAAAATCGATTGATTTATGCCTTAGCAACCTGAAAGCTAGGCAACTCTAAAGCATGTGGGGGGATTACTATCCAGAATCTTTATGTAGTGTCAATATGGTGGCTGTAAGTGAAAACAACTAATACCCTGTTACTCCTAAATTAGATGCTGAAGAATATATCCTATTGCCAATTCAATGACTTTTATTTGTAAATCACATGTCAGTGCCTTATTGTAAATACCAGTCCTGAGGTAGTTTTACTTCTTGATGCCATATTCTGGGCCTATTCAAACCTCCAAACTGACTTGCCTCTCCCTCAGAAAAAAAATGACAAAGAGAAGCTTTGAACCCCTACCTTGGTAGAAGAGCTTCTTCAAGTTATGGTTTTGGACCATAACCAGAGGGATGTAGCCATGCTGGGGGGGGGGGTTCTAGGAGTTGTAATCTAAAAGGTAACTTTTTGCAAGCTGTGTTCAGATCTGTGAAATCCCCTCACTTCAAGCATTAATCAAACCTGATTTTTAAAAAATAGAACATCTCTGTTTTGCATTTGAGAACCGTTGGGTTGTTACAGAAGTAATAAGGTGTGACATTTATAAAGCTTTAATTTTGCCGATTCGCAACATTTTTTCCTGCAGTGGAATGGGAGAGATGTAATGAGGAGGGTCAGTAGCAGCAATAGGGGCATGAAGCAAAGCTTAGCAGACTAATATGTAATATCTGGATACTGATGATTGTATCCATTGCTAGCACCAGGAATATGAGAAATTCAGGAACCTAGAAAGCTGCCTTACAGTTATTCATATCACTGGTCCATCTAATCCAATATTGTTGGCTCTGACTGGCAACTACTCTGCAACATTTCAGACAGGATTGTTATCTAAATCAGCTGTTCTCAACTTTTTTTTTTTTTTTTTTGCTATGGCCATAAACCCAATGTGAAAAAATATAGACTGAATCAGGATTGTATGAGGTGCATAATGAAACTTACAAGGTGGTGTGTGAAGAATTGTTTCCAGTCTGTGGCCCATCTCAAATGTTCCCCCAGAATAGCTGATTCTAGATTATATTCGAGGGAATTAATTAAACTGGGTCCTTCTGCATGCACCACAAATTCTCCTACCATGGAGCTACTATTCCACGCTTCATGTATTTTTTAGTATGTCTCGCTTAAACATGAGTGTACATTGCACTTTTCATGGAATTAAGGATGTCCGGTAAAGCTTTGCTGCTATAGCATGTTAATCCAGTCTTATAAATGTAATTGAGAATCCAGTGGTGGTGAGAGGTGGATGGCATCAGGAATGGAAAAGCCCTTTTTTCCCTCCTTTTATAGTTCTCCTGGGAGAAATGTTCTATTCTCAACAAACTTACTTCTGCACCCCCTTTTTTACCCCATTCCACATTTTGCTTCTAGCACTAACCGTTAAGTCAGTTAGGTCTCGCCCATCAATTAACTGACAGTCAGTTAATTGATGGGCCAGTTTTCACAATTCCTGCATTCTGATCCGGTCAGTCCATTTGATGAACAGGAACAAGTGAACATTTGCTCCACTAACCTGCCTGCCCGGCTTTGGATAGGCAAACATAGCAAACCTGGGGGGGGGGGATACAAAATTGGCCACCTTGAGTCCTTTGAGGAGAAAGGTGGGTTAAAAATATTTTTAATTAATTAATTAATTAATTAATTAATTAAAATCCTGTGCAGTTCTTGGCATTATTTTTTCAATAATTCTGCTTAACTACTATTCAGTTTTGGCCTATCCATTGAGTTTTTGATATGGAGGCCATATTTAGACCTATCATATGATAGGCAACATCTGAAAGCTTTATCTCATCCAAACTGCAGCTGTTCTCATTAAAATGGCCTTGTAGTGTCCTGTAAGAGGTAAAGGTTCCCCTTGACATTTTCAGTGCAGTCTCGTGTCCGACTTTAGGGGGCGATGCTCATCCTGTTTTCAAGCCGTAGAGTCAGCATTTGTCCGAAGACAGTTTCCGTTGTCACGTGGCCGGCGTGACTAGGGAACGCTGTTTTACTTTCCCACTGAGGTGGTACCTATTTATCTACTCGCATTTGCATGCTTTCGAACCGCTAGGTTGGTGAGGAGCTGGGACAAAGCAATGGGAGCTCACTCGGTTGCGTGGATTCGATCTTACGACTGCTGGTCGTCTGATCCTGCAGCACAGGCTTCTGCGGTTTAGCCCACACCACCACCACTGACATATCTCAGTGTCCTGAGATATGTCAAAATCATTTGCCATCTGTCAAAAACATGTGTTTCTATTTAGCTAATTGGAGACATTTGTCAAGGCCGAATGTATTTTAGCCCATTAAAATAAGCATTCATAAAAGAATATGTAATATCAAAAAATTACTCAAGTTATAATTGGATGCATAATTTCACCTAAATTGAAATTCAAAGGAAATTTGTACCATTAGGTTTAAAAAACAAAGAAACAAACAACTGATACTTATATCGGTGTTTGGACAGCAATAGTTGTAAGTATGTACTGTCTAAGCATAGGTATGAACTATTTATAAAGCAAGTATCTGTGAAGTTCAAACAGATCACAAAGTATATGGATTGTCTTTAGAAGATGGTATAATTAAATCAAATTGGTTAAATACGTATATATGACATCGCCTTTGCTGAACACCGTTTGCGGTATATAAGTGAGAAAAACAGCTTAGGGAAATAGATTGTTCATGACTGTAATTTGTCATCATGATTAGGCATTTTGCTCCTACTCATACATTTTTCAGTTCACTGTGTTCCTCCACCCTGGAGCTGTGTATCAAATTAATGTCACTTAATTGGCACCCCCACATTGTGAACAGGTTGCATGGACTTCAGTTTACTGTGTACATAATTGTCTACTTGTGTTCCTTCTGCAGAGATCTAAAATTCAAGTATTTGATAAAATGTGGACCTACATGAAAAGCGCAGAACCATCTGTGTTTGTGAGGACTACAGCAGAAGGTGTAGCTCGCGTACGGAAGTCTAAAGGAAAATATGCCTACTTGCTGGAGTCCACCATGAATGAATATATTGAGCAAAGGAAACCCTGCGATACCATGAAAGTTGGCGGGAATTTGGATTCCAAAGGATACGGCATTGCAACACCTAAAGGATCCTCATTAAGGTGGGTGGAATAGTATAACAATATGCTCAATGTTGTTATAGTATCCCACCTACCCTGATGTATCTTTTGTACTAATTTATATGGTTTGTATATGGATAAGAGGTAACACTCGAACATAGATTTTTTCCC